CCCGCGTCCTTCAAGGAATGAGCGATTTCTCTGCCTAAAAATGAGAATATTAATGAGAATACAGTCCGGACGCCTTAACTGCTAGAAGGATTTCCCCCCTCCCCCCGCTACAAACACACACACACACACACACCTTAATAAGATTCATAGAAATAGCAATGACAGGCTATGAAAACTAGGTACGCAAAAGATCCTAAGGGGAAACGAGCGGTTTATTTTTTATGTTTTTGCCTTTCCGTTTACTGACTGGGGGCAGGGCCGGCGCTTGATGTTGTAAACCTATTGCCACGAATGGCTCCAATGAACTGCGCCTTGTCCCATTTGTGAGCGGAACTGCCGCATCTCTGTTAGGCGTGTTTGGGACGCACAGATCCGCAGGAGAGCTATCGAGGCGCAGCATCCTCGGTTGGGTGCCGTCTGTTCTCCAGAGTTGCGCATCCGCCTTTCTGCGAAAATCGACGGGGCCTGGGCGAAGGAGCGCTTGCAAGCAGCGGTTTGGTGGTCTTTGCGGAGACCTTTGCGGAAACTGGGTCCCACTGCGGGAAACGGCTGTCGCCTTTTCCTGCGTGTTATTCTCTCACTTACTTTGCCAATGACTTTTAAGTGCCGCTCTGTATTGTGCCTTAAACAAGGAACTTGAGAGATGTAGACACGGTTGAAGCGACTCTCGCAAACCGAATGTTCTTTGGATGTTTGAAATTCATGTACGGTAAATTTTGAAATATGGCTGTTTCGACTTCATTAATTATCCGAACGTGTATAGTTCGGCAGTGGCTCTGGGTCACCGATTACAAATTGCAATAGGACTATTATGGTCCCTTTCTCCCTCCCAAGGAACGGGCTTGTTTTTAACTTCTTTTGGTTCTGACGGAAGGGGACCTCCCTGGTTAACCTGGAGAACGCGTGGGAACGTCTTTGTCGAGAAGAGAAGAGTCCGGCTAACGTGAGCCAGACCGAGGCCTTCGAGTGGTGGCCGCTTCAGAGGAGGGAAGGCTTGCGCCTCAGAGGCAATCCAAGATGCTACCATTTAACTTTAGGGAAACTACCTCCGTTTCAGCTGAGGCCATCTTAATGGGGTAATTTGATGGTGCTCGGGGGCTTTTCTTTCTTTTGTCTTATTTGTAAAAAGTCGCGTCCCTGAGGCATTCCCACCAAACCAGAGGAATGCTTGAAATATGGCGAGGGTCTATCCGGTGCCAGATTCGATCTTGGGAAAAGTCCTGAGGACTGGCCTGAAGGCACCTGGGCGAGAGCTGAGGACCGGAGGGGACTGTGGGGAGCGGAAGAGTTGTTTTCTGGGCCCAGATACACGAACGCCGGCAGTTTCCGATCCTCTTTTAGCCCAGTAACGCTTGTCGACTTGCCTTGGAGGCTCTTGTCCCGCACAGAGCGGCCTGCCAGCCTGACGCGCGTCCGCGGCGTGTTTTTCCTGCGGACAAGCCCGAAAGGAGTCTGAACAACATCCTCGCAAATATTGACAGTGGCTACTCCAAGCGTTTTTGGAGTGGGGAGTGGGGAGAAGGCGGCGCGATTCCTGGAGATGGGGAAGGTTTAGTTTGGGATGGAGAAGCGGGATGGTGCGTGGAGAGGGCACTGTTGGCGCTGATCTCTTGAGTGACTTTGGTCATCAGAAAGGCCCAAGGGAGCTCCGGCCGGGGAAGATTGCCTGAGCGTGTTCTGACGAAGCGAAATCGAGCGAAGGTAGCAAAATGAAAGGTTAGGCTGGAGTTAAGGGGTGGGCAGCCCTAGAGAGCAGCACAAGGCGGCAGCACCCGGGGCTCTGCTCTCTTCTCTCCGCTGTCCCCAACCCAGAAACGCGTGGTTGCGAATCTGAACGCGCTTCCTGCTTGAGCGATTTTCTTGCCGTGTATTGGAGCGAGACAAGTTGACAAACTTATCTCGCCTCTCAAACGGGGCCCTTTCAGCCTCTCAAAATCCACAACGCACCCGCACCCGTTTCAGAAGTTTGTTTGGCCGCACCTCTTTCTGCGCATCTTTTGCAGACTTTGCCTCTATTCCTCTTTCTGTCCTGACATCACTCTGGCTGAATTTACCCAACGCGCTAAACCAGGGTACAATCGGAGGGTAGAATGGTGTGTGGTGATCACGAGGCCATTTATAAACAAGGTGGTTTTGAAGCAAACGGGCGGTAGTTTTTGGTAAAACATGGTTAAAGAAGTCGTGGTTTGCCTATGCAGCTGAAACTAATTAGCCTTATCTCTAGGAACGAACACCCATAGGGGCAGGCAGCATCACGTGTCTTTCTTTTTCTGATTGGGAAGAGCCCCTCCTTCCCCGCTCCCCCTGTAGTTTCTCCCTCTAAGTTATTTCCACCGCCGTCCACTCTAGGTTGTTTATCTTCTATTTCTGATGCCCATCTTCCTCTGTCAGACTGATCTTCAAAACTCAGAGGTATGTGATATTTGAGCACACACTTTTTATCCGTATTAGTAAATTATAAGATGTGAACGCATATGGGCATACTTCTGAACTGGTCCGGATGGATCCAGGGAACTTGGCCTTCTCTGCGGGATGCGAGAAAATGACCAGTCTTGGGTTTGTTTAATTTGTTTGTTTAATTTAACCTGTTTTCCATAGACTCGCGGGTGTTAATTTGCGGTGTGTGAATGGTGAAGGGGAGGGGGAAGTGTGTGTGTGTGGGAAAACCTACCAATGGTACCCAGTGCAGGTTTCGTTTTAAACCGAAATAACATTTACCTACATTCCAAAAGTTGCTTGGGACTAAATCCTACTCAATTCAGCGAGTCTTGCTTTCTGGTAAGCTGGCAAAGGTTGACCTTGTTTGAAGAATGTCCCATCACAAAGTGAGATCTGTTTCCAGTGGCTTGCAGGCACGTCCATGGAATGTTCTTGGGAGCAGTACAGTAATTTGTCTTCCTCTTTTCCTGGGATTTCCGCCCCCCCCACCCCAAACACACACACACTATTTCTCAGCTTGCAGTCCTGGGATTTCCCCGTAGCCTCCCATCCAAGTACTAACAAGCTCTGAACCGGCTTAAGTTTGAAGGTAGACAAGGCCAGATCGTAAACATGTCTCATATCTTTCTGTAGGTTTTTGCACTTACAGGCAAGAAAAGCTGATTTAAACCCGATTGTTCAATTGAATAACTATATATATTCAATTTTAGCCTTAAAAAAAAAATCAGCATCAAGAGCATAGCAGAATATTTTAAGCTTGGGAGAGATGAATCTGCTTGGTATACAGACTGCTGGAGTAGTTTAAAGCGGGAGGGGGGGCCGGGACGGCGGGGGAGAGAAAGTCTCCCACGTATTCATAAGTCCCATGCATTCACATGAGATTTAATGCGTGCGCATTTTCAAAAGTAGGGGAACAACCACAACCTGGTTTAGAAGATGCTTAGGATTGCCTTTGTTTTTCTAAACCTCCATTACATGAGAGGGAGAATCAATATTTCTGTTCTTTTCCTTGAAGCAATCGTTTAGATCCTAGGTCTGTAGGTGGTCTTGCAAGAAAAAATAAAGCAAATTTCAGCAGAAACTTTTCCCCAACCATTTGTGCTTATAAGAATTTGTTCATCTCTTAGAATGGCCTCCCTCCTTTTCTGGGCAAACAGAGCTTGAGGCTGCTAAGAGTATATTTTATACAGACCATTGTCCCACTTTAATAGTAAATTATTCCAATAGAATAAACACATAAAAACAAATGAATATATAATTAGGCAAAACTACTTCCCAGCCTTACAGTAGCAAAGCGGGCACTTCCTGTGCGATACCTGTCTCTTCTCAGGGCAAAGAAAGAAAGAAACACAAAAGCTTATCAAATTTGTATCAAATGTAATAGTTGGATGAGAAAACACCAAAAAGTCTATGCTGTAGATTGGGAAAGAAACCAACAACAATAAAAAAAAAACGTCCCAGAAAAAAACAGTGATTTTTGAACAACGTGGAGACGTCGCAATCCTGGTGGAAAAAGCTGTTTGTCCTCCTTTCCTTCCCGATCTGTGTGTGTGTGTGTGTGTGTGTGTGTGTGTGTGTGTGTGTGTGTTTGGGAGGAACAGTCCAATTATTGCGAAAACTCTTCTGGCGAAAGTCCCTTGCTCGCTTGCAGAATTGGTCCTGTCGCTAGGGGGCGTGCAGACAGGTGTAAAAGAGGCGGGGAACAGGACCGGCCGTGCGCGAGCCGGGAAAGTGAGCCCCGAGACACACGCCCTCTTGCCCGAGCCGCTTGCCCGCCAGACGGAACTTCCGTCTCTCTTTCGCGGAAAGGACAGCAAATTAAGCAGGTGATGCTGGGTTTTCGTCTACGATTCGGTGGGAAGAGAGGGATGCTCGCAAGGGATGGGAATAGCCCGGTAAAAGGAAGCGACTCCGCCGAGAGCCCTTAAAAACCCCATAAACGCAAAATCGAGGTTAGAACTGCGCCCTAGTTCAGCAGAGGCGGCGTTTGATTTGAAGCGCGCCGCTTTTCCATCTCTCTCTCTGTCTCTCTCTCCGAGCGGTAAGCCTTTGCTGGAAAGAGGCGCGTTGCCTAGGTTCCCTTTTCGCTTCTCTGACCAAACCGGCGCGAGATGGCTTGGCGGGACGTGTGAACTCAGCCATGGGTTTCTTTTTTAGGTTTAGCGGGGGACCATTCCGAAGAGCGACTGATGCCCGCTCTTCAATATTGGCAACTTTTCGATCTCCCTTCTCTCCCGTCCCGCGGGGGGGTTTGGGAGGGTGTGTGTGTGTGGGGGGGGTTAGTTTCCAAGGGGTGCGTGCTCCTTCGGTAGCCCTGACAGCTACTTCTGCAGCTGCTGCTGGCGGCTCTCCCTTCGCGGGAATGTTCCCGTCCTTCATCTCTTGGTTCCCTCCTCCCCCACCCCTGCCGCCCTCCTGCGCGATGCGTCGGGTGATGTCCCGGGCCACCGAGTAACCCGAGGTTTCTCCTTTGCAGCACGCGCCTGTCCCCGCTGACCGGAACTGCCTGCCCGCGCTCAGCCGGCCTGCTCTCGCTTGAAGGACGTTGTCACCCTCCAGCCATGAACACCATCGTCTTCAACAAGCTGAGTGGCCAAATGCTCTTCGAAGAAAGTGCCAAGGAGCACGACAGAAACAGCAGCCGGCCATACGGGCCGGTCTTGGAGGTCACCCCTCGCCCGGAGGTCCTCCTGCCAGATCGTCCTCCCAATAAAGACAACCTCAGCGTTCGCCATAAGAGGACAGGGTAGGTGCCCGCCGGCTCCTGGGTCAGGGCTTGGAGGGCAGGTGGTAGGAGGAGAGGTTTTTCTGGGCAGGAGAACAGAGAAGCTGGGAGCACTGCTTGAATTACATTCTGGGGTCCATCTCCTCCCACCTTAGCCTTTCCTATCAGGGTCCTTGTGTGAATGATCCAGCCAGCCCAACACTTATGCCCGTCTTGTCAACAGCTTAACTTCCAAACCTTTCTTGTTGAGCTCAGCTCAGCATTCTAGTTCATTCTACAATTATGTTCACCTGAATTATTTCCACACACTTTTAAAGGATCCAGGCATATTTGGAAGATGAAAATCCCACTGATAGGCTGGGCGGTTGGCATTATAGAAACCATACAGCCAATCTGAAATGGTGGTTTGCTGGAAACCAGCAGTTACCTAAATACTGTGAGAATAGGGAAAAAATTGTGCCAGGAAAATGAATGAAAATTGAAGTGGCTGAGCATTTACCTAGGAGAGTGAGACCTCACTGGGATTTACATCTGAGCAAACTGATGTTAACAATAACAATAATAACAATAATTAACAACAACAACTAGCACTATCTATTAAACAATATTACATTTGAGATGCAGCTAAAGACAATAATCAATATGATGTTAATTAATTAATACAGTTCTTTTGTTGTGCCTATTTTAACCATGCAAAGCAAATTTACTACTGTTTATGATTGCTTTTCAGGTGATGGATAATATATTTTTATGGGCCTTGCAAATATATTCAGACTTGGTTTGGTTTTTAAGGAATGCTTTTGTACAATTATTTTGCAGTTCACTGCCACAATGGTTATTGCGTTAACATGTAAGACCTAATCCATCTGTTGTTCCTACATTATGTATTCAAAAGAATCAACATTTTCCCCTTTTCTTCAGAAAGAGGCGTAAAATGGGTGGGTAGATATCTTCATGAACAAAATGAGACACATCTAAGGGTAATACACAGAGATCAGAATGCTCATTTGTGGGAAATATCTTCATCAGAAATTTAAGGGATGTCAAAAATGGAAAGGGAAAGGGGATTCTTTTTTCCTCTGACATGAAACGTTAAAAATCACATTAAGTTTATACCAGGGGTGGGAATTATACTGGTCGGATCCCATCCCTGGTTTATACTTACAAAACATTCCAGGTTACCAAAAGAATGGTTGTGCTGTGCTGAAATGCTGAGATGCTACAGGTATTACCAACTGATTCATACAGAATCACATTTCAACAATAATAGTAACAAGTAAAAAGACCAAAAATAAATTTAAAAAAAAAGTGGGGGGAGGAGGCATTCATGGCTGGGTAGGCAGGGAACAAGCACCCTTTGAAGGTAGCATCTTCAGAGGAAAATAGCATTACAGGACCAAACTCCATAATCTTAACCAGAAACTGAGACCAGTATGGAAGGGCAAAGAGCAGTGAAATAGGAAACTGGCAGAAGAAATCTCTGGATGAAGAGAAACCAATAACAGGCCTGCTCTTGAGCAGGTATTCTGATATTTATTGGATTCGTAGAAAGGCCAAGTCCAGTTGCTTGATTTGTGTATTTGCATGCCCATCTTCTCACTAGGGATACCAAATGTCCTGTACCGGTTTTGAAGGGAGTGCAAACCTGTCCCTGAGTATAATCTGTTTCTCTAACGATTCTCCTTTGTGTCCCAATTTTGGATACGGTGGATTCAAACTTATGTAAACTTGCTTCTGTGTCAATTCCATGGAACTTTATTCAGTAAGGCTTCTTTCCATGAAGGGGGACTGCATATGGTTAGGCTTTACATTAATTAAACAGGACATGCCTAAAAAAACAACACATGCCTAAGAGATGAGACAAAATTGTTCATGTCTTCCATTGGATGAACTTCTATTGGGATAGGAATGTACAAGCATCCCATCAAGCAAACATTTGCCTTTGCCTAGACAAAAATTCAGAGTGCAATATTATCTATCCATCAGCCATTTAGAGTATTAATTGCTTATGAGTACTGGGTTATCTGCAAAGGTCAATTTTAATTTCATTTAAGATTGGTCATGTGCAGAAATTACTGACATGTATTCCCCTTAATAATTAGCCATATACAGATGCAAGACCTTGGAAGTGGGAAGGAAGTTATTGAATATCTTGAATAGCCAGGTGTGTACAAATTGCTTGATCTCAAAACAAGGGCACATTAGCCACGCTATCGGTTAAACCAAGTTCATCACTTTGGGGAACTGCCTGCCCCGTTTTGAAATTGTGAAAACATGCTAGATATGTTTTCACAAAAGGATTCTCAAGGGAAAGCTTTCCCCAAGATAAACAATATGCAAAATGTTTGTGTTGTGTTATCAGAAAGCAAGATTAATTAGGTTGCTTCCCATCACAGCCTCTTGCCCTGAAAATTGATCTCAGCTTCCTGGTTCATGCATGGGGCTCATGGTCAAACTGACACTTGGCTTCGCAGCATCTTCTCCCAGGTCCTGGACTAGCACAAGAGACATGCCCCTTTGATTATATATTCACAGGTTAGCTTTGGGGTTTTGATCTGTCCTCTTTTAAAATATACCTGGAGAAGGGGGGTGGGTGTGGAATTTAATTCTTTATCTCCTGCTCCAAACTAGGAAAATTTTTCCTTTAAAGACATTGTTGATCTTGGGAGGATATCCCCTATTGTTGCCTACCATAATAGAGCCATCTAACTGTCCTCAGCTTGTCTCACAGTGCATTCAACAAGCATATTGTATAGTGCAGCTGTGAAAATGAAGACTGTGGAAACCACTAAAACCTTGGGTACGCTCCTGGGTTCTCTCCAAGTATTAATATTAACTGTATTTACAAAGGAAAGGAGAACATATTATGTATAGAAGAGTGATATTGACTGTGTTTAATTAAATTTAACTCTAGTTAAACTAATATATATTTTTCTCTGGTCCAGGATGGTTTTGCTACTCTTATTCCTGCTCCTACCTTGGCTTCCAGCGCATGACTCAAAGACTTCGTGGCTGCTTAGCTGCCCTGCCTGCCTACCAGACTGTGAACTCTAAAGCAGCAGTAGAATAATGACTGAAAATAAACAAAAGCTCATTCAGAGAAAACATTCGTTTTAGATTTGGTAGATGTTTAATCTTGCCTTTCTTGTACCAGATTTTATTTTAGTTAAGTACAGGTTAATTTGGGTCCAATTTGCTTTAAGCAGCACACGATCCATGATGTAACTTACAAAAATGGTGTGCCTGGAAATTTATGTGTGGTCTCTCACTGAGGCAGATTTAGCTAGTTTCAAATATATATGAAACTGGTTAACTGCTTAAGGAAAGTGGAGAAGATGAAGTTCTCCCTCTATACTGAAAGTCAGCAACTTTATGATCTTTGGCCCCCCACTCAGAATTCCACAGCATGCTGTCTAGGGAATTCTGGGAATTGAAGTTCACACATCTTTAAACTGCTGAGATTGTGAAATACTATCCTACATGTCCCCATTGTGGAGGTAATTATTAGAAAGCCCAGTCACCTCTCACTGACAGTATGGGTTTGGGAGTAGGGTGCTCTTACTGTTATTAGTGTGGTCTGTTGGACTGATACTAAACCATGGGCAATTCTTTGTGTTTTTGTGCTCCTCTCTTGCTGCATCTACTGGGGGTGGGTGGTGTATTGCATCCTAATAGTATCCGTATCGCTAGATGCTCAGGATAGTACATCCCTTGCTTAAAGATGGAATTGAAAGAAAGGTGCAGGAGAGCACGTTGATTAAGCTAGCCCTTTCCTCCTCAGTGCCCTGGGAATAATGGGATGGCAACGTCTGACATTTTCTCCAGCATGACTGAAGATTGGAGAAGATTGCTGAACTTGCTTGCTTTGGCTGCATCCTTATCCCAGTGGAGAGAAAAGCTAAAGGCTTGTGTCAAGTACCAAATGTTTTCTGTTAGCAAACACTGTTTTGTCTGCATTTTCTTTTCTTCTCAAATCCCTCTTCCAAGATCAGACAATATTTTAACAGCTTCCTTCTTTGAGAAAGATCTTTTATCTTCACAAGAAGTTGAGATACTATGCAGGCCAGAACTGGACATTGGTATTTAAATTATCAAAGCCTCCAATTTGGCAACTCCTTTTTCCTCCAACCCTTGGTTTGCCCTTGGTTTGCATGCTTATATATTTGCTTTCTGAAAGGTTATTTTGATTTTATAAAAATGAGGAAGAACTATCACAACTGCTATAGCTAGTCGGGATGTTTTTTTTATACAGTTAGAGAGGCAAACTTGTTAAGTAATAAGCAAGCTCCTCTCTGCTTATTCTTCCATAAAACCTGAATAAATGATTATGCATAGTTTGTAAATCCACAAATTCCCTCATATGTCCGTATTTGTGGGCTGCTCTGAATACCTTTAGATCTTTGTTTAAAGAACTGTGGCCTTCATGCCTCAGTTGGCCCATATGTCTCAGAGATCCTTCTGGGAAATATTTGGAATCAATTGACCTTTAGTTTAACCAGAGGGTTCTTCTTAATGTTGCTTGTAATTATCATTGATCATGTACCATGACAACAATATGTTAGAAACGGCTCCAGAGTATATTCCCATTTATCATTGTGACTTCTAGGATGGCACTGATAATCCATCTAAAATTGGAATTATTGTAATCACATTCCTGTGAAAAGACAGTTCCAAAAGCAATAAAGCCAATGGAGCTGAAATTCAGGGTGGTTGTATCCATATTCTGGCTCTGTGTTGGGCCCATATTCAGCCCCTAGAAAGAGAAAACTTGGAGGGAGAGGGGAATACAAATATAATGCTGCAGTACAGGTGCAGGAAGTCCTCGATTTACAACAGTTCACTTAGTGACTGTTCCAAGTTACAACATCACTGAAAAAAGTGACTTACAACCGTTTTTCACACTTACAACCATTTTAGCATCCCACATGATTCACATTCGGATGCTTGACACCTGACTCACATTTATGACAGTTTCAGTGTCCAGGAGTCATGTAATCGCCTTCTGACAAGCAAAGTCAATGGGGGAAACCAGATTCATTTAACAACCACGTTATTAATTTAACAACCGCAGTGATTCAACTTAACAAACATGGTAAGAAAAGTCATAAAATGGAGCAAAACTAACAACAAATTTCTCACTTAGCAATGTACTTGTTGGGCTCAATTGCGGTCATAAGTTGAGGACTACCTGTAGTCCTCCACCTGTGATCATAGCTGGGATCAGAATTTCCATTGTTTGGCAAGGCAGTTGTGAAGTGAGTTATGCCCACCTTCACAATCTTTTTTGCCATGACTGTTAAGCAACTCGTGGCAGAGGTTCATTGAATCATGCAGGCGTTCGTGCAAATCCAGCTTCCCCGGTTGTTGACTTTGTTCCGACAAAGTCTGCCTGGGAAGTTTGCAAACAATGATCACATGACTCCAGGACACTGCAACCATTGTATATACTTGCCTGTTGCCTGAATTTTAATCATGTGACCATGGAGATGGTGCAACAGTCATATGGTCATGTGTCATTTTTTAAGTGACACCATAGCTTTGAATGGTCACTAAATGAATAATTATATGTTGAGGACAACTTAGAAAACAGTAAAATTATTTGTGTTATGGAGGGCATAAAGAGCTTGGTCTCTGGTTGTGTTAGGCCCTCTAATGAGAATCTATAGATGGGAAGCCATAATGTAGCTAATTTGATTCTGGTGTAAGCTATTGCTTGAGCCTGCCATTATGATTTACACCTTAAAAATTTTCTCCTAATTCTGAGAGCTGTATATTTAACAAACCATAGGCCAGTGATGGCGAACCTTTTTGTTGTGGTGTGCCGAAAGCATGTGCGCTCATGATAGCGTACACGCGTGTGTGCCAGCCCATAATGCATTGCACCCCATCCCCCTGCGCATGCATGTGCAACATCCCTGCCCTGCCCCCTTACCTGCATTGTGCATGCATGCACCTCCCAGCTGATTTTCAGCCTGTTTATGGTCATTTTCACCCTCCCGGAGGTTCAAGGGAAGCCTCTGCAGCCTCGGGAGGCCAAAGAATGGGTCTTCTGGAAATACCAGAAGTGCCTCTTTTCAGTCTACTGGGGGCCTGTGGAAATGGGAGAGGCCATTTTCGCCCTCCTGGAGGCTTGAGGAAACTTCTGCAGCCTCCAGAGGCTGAAAACGGGCCCATTTCAAACAGGCTGAAAATCAGCTGGGAGGCGCGCACATGCACAGTGCAGGTAAGTTTGACTGGGGCATGCCTGTACAAATGGCTCTGCATGCTACCTGCGGCACGCATGCCATAGGTTCGCCATCACAGACATAGGCAATCTTTCTTACAATGGTTTAAAGTGTGGTGTGAAACTAGCCAATATGTTGAAAGTTAAATTGTCCTAAATTGTTTTGAACCACTTTCATCTTCATAGTCATATGATGAAAGATAGGAATATAAGACATTCCATCACACACTTAATTTGGATGATATCCTTCATGATTCTAAGCTTGCTGTGTTATTTTCTAAAGTACAATTGCCTTTGGATAGATTGAGTTTTAAAACCGTTATTTGAGCGTTAAAAGTGTTGATTAAATCAAGTATTTTAAAATATAATTTTATTCATTTATTTGTCTGATTTATATACCATTTCATAAAAATGTGCATGGTGCACATTTGCATGGTGTATAACAAAATATTAGGTTATTCTATTTGAGGTATGTGGATGTCATAAACAATGGAAAATCATCATGATAGATACCAGAACTTCTCTAAATTCACATGCATTTATTCAAAGCCATAAATCAATTTATCCCAACCTAACATTTACCAACATGTTTAGAAGGGGTTGTAATCCAACCACCCCGCCCAATTGAAAAGATAATCTAATTGGGAAAGGCTGAATTACAGCCAGGGGTGGACTTCAAAAGTTTTTAGCAAAGGGTTCTCTGCCCGGTTGTTGGATGGGCATGGCCGTGGTGGGTGTGTCCCAGTTGGCCTCCTGCACTAATGCAGGGGGGGGGGCCTTTTTGCCTTCCCCGGGCTCTGGAGGCCTTCCTCGAGCCTCCAGGAAGATGTCCCCGAGGTCCAGAGGCTCTCTGGAAGCCAGAAATGGGCCCATTTCTGGCCTTCCCGAACTTCCGGGAGACCCATTTTTCACCCTCCTCAAGGCTCCATGCATACCCTTCACTTACCTGCATCCAAAACAGGCCATATGGGGACTCCTGGGAGAGGAGGGGCGAGGTCGGTGTGGCCAGCCAAGAGTGGGATTTGGGAGTTCTCTGAATTGCATAGACTCTTAGCTGGGGGCTCTCCTGAACCCCTGCAAACCTCCAGCAGCCCGTCCCTGATTACAGCCTTCAATGTTTACAGTGAATAAATAAAAGTTACTCCTTCCACATTGGTTAGAGTTTATATTTGCTATTCTGACTTGGGGAGATGGGAGAATACATCACTCTTCCACAAAGGAAAGCCTAGCAGTCATTTTTGCAGATCATTTGATCCGTTCCATTCTCAGCTCTGGAGTAGCACATTGGGGAAACGTGATGTGAGTCAGCCATGAAGTGACAGTGAGTCATGAAGGACAATTCCCTTTCATGACTCATTGATGCTCTTCTACTTCTCTATCCCATGAATGGCCGTATGAATACATAGCTCTCTGCCCTCCCTCCTAAGACCTAGGAGGCTAAGAATCTCAATATGTACCTCTTTCTCTCCTTTCTCTCTTACCCCATTCACAGTGCCCGGCAGAACAGTGGGAAAGTGAGACACAAGCGCCAGGCCCTTCAAGATATGGCACGACCACTGAAGCAGTGGTTGTATAAGCACCGGGACAATCCCTACCCAACTAAGACGGAGAAGATCTTGCTGGCTCTTGGCTCCCAGATGACTCTGGTCCAGGTAAGAAGGAAATGCATTGCAGACTCTGATTTAAGAAGTCTGATTGGTTGCCATCAGATATATCAGCAAGTATAGTTTACCTCTAAATAAAACATGCGTAACATAAAGACCATTTTCAGCCTTTGAAAGTCTTGTGTGTGGCTACTATGGACCACCAGAAGTTAAAAATGGATTTTTATGTAGTAGAAGGAGGAGAAATAATAGAGAAGAGTAAAAATTCGTTTACGTGGGAGTGGCATTCCAGAATGCATCTTCCTTCAGATAATCCCATTCCGGAGATTGTTGATTTCTGGAAGTAAGTTCCTGAAATCAGACTTGGAGGATTTACTTTCAAAAACTGCCAAACTCCCACAAGATAGGAAAAGTTTTGGCATGTTTCAGAAGAATATTTGGGAGCTCTCTTGGACATTCTGTTCCTAGAGTGACAAATTTTGCATGGTTGTAAAGATTGGAGAGTAATATTAACCATGTTTAATTTTAGTACCACTGAAAGTATAATCCAGGTGGCCATACAGAGGCCAAATATGATTTTCAATTTGGAAAGATGCACATCTATTGAACAAACAACTGGAGTTCTTAGTGTAGCTGGAGTGTACATGTAGATTTATTTTTTTTCTTCAATTAAATGGAAACCGAATACCAGCTATTTCATTCCAAAAAAACAGCATCCACAAGCTTTTATAGAATATTAATCTGATTTGATCTGTTCCAGAAATAAGTATCTATCTACCTCTGCCTTAACACTATTAATACTGGAAGAAAATTGGGAATTAAATTATGGCAAAAAACCATTATTATATGAGTAAATTAAATAGTTCATCTAGAAACTAGGATAGCTTGACTTAGGTTTCCAGGTGACATTTATTTCATCAATATGACTGTCTATACATGTGGGACTGTAGCATCCATAATTGTGTTTGTTTGGACGGAGATCATTTGAACAGGATGGGGGAAATTGGGTTGGGAATATTGTAGTAAGAGTAAATCAAGTAGTTGATTTCAATGCTTTGGCTTTAATTGGGATTTCATAGCAATAGCAACAGCATTTAGACTATATAGAACTTCATAGTGCTTTACAGAAGGGGTCACCAATCTTTTTGGACCTCAGGGACCACCATACTCATAATTTCAAATCCCGCGGACCACTAATATGAATTTTGACTGATGGTGGCTTGCTGACATTGGTGGGAAAGTTGGTCCCATATTCTAGAGCTGCAGTAGTCACAGGACTGGCCTGTGCACTGAACTGCCATGGATGAGCTGCTCCAGGATGACCAAAGGGCCAGTCCTGTGTGTACTGCAGCTATGGAATATAGGACTGACTTTCCCACCAACGTCAGCAAGCCACCCCAGGGCAAACTTCCCCGCCATTGGTCTTACCTTCCAGTTCCAGCTCGTGTGGCTCTACTCAAGGTAAGGTTTGCACTCAGCCGAAGGATGGGGACCAGCGGGTAGGAGGGTCATGTGGGTGGTACAGCCTTGTGTTCCTGCAAGCCTAGATTAATTGCCTTGGGGGGGACATTTCTCTGCGGAGCACCAAAATTTTCTCATAGACCACTAGTGGTCCTCGGCCCACTGGTTGACAACCACTGCTTTACAGCACTCCCTGACCGGTTTACAATGCCAGCATCTTTCCCCAACAATCTGAGTCCTCATTTTACTGACCATGGAAGGCTGAATCAACCTTCAGCCCATCAAGATCCAACTCCTGGCTGTGGGCATTATTAGTCTGCTTTTCTAAATATTGCACCACGATGGCTCCTTGGGAATTTTCTTGTATCAAGTCTATTGTGAAATGGTGTATAATAAGTGTTAGGCAGGTATGGAAGTATGTGTTCATTCTAGTCTAGCCTTATCATTTGACTTCTTTAGCTGTTTAGGAATAAGTTGGATACTCCCGTTAATTTTTCCCTTTCTTTGAATTTTTATTAAATGTAGTCCTTTGCCTTCTTAACTTTTCATGGCAATATGTTCCACAGAAATTAAATAGCATATTTGGTTAAGAAGAAAAATGCTTCATTTAATTGACAATCTATCTTACTTGACAGAGACACATGGTCTGAAAACAAACAAACAAACAAAAGAACTATAATAAAACATTCCAGATGCTCCTTCCATGCTTGGTCCAGCAACCCTGTCATATTTGCATGAAGGGAAAGAAAAGGAGAGAATGAATTGTGATCTGATTATTGATTATAAGAAGCCAATCTTCAACCATAACAGAGTATAATTTCAAGTCACACCTGAATGCAGAATAATTTCTCTGCAACCACACCAACTTAACCGCCATTATTTCATCTTGGGAACTAGGTCATGTTTTAATATGCACTTGAAAAATAGTTCTCATTCCTTAAAGCTGTGCATTCCAGATGGTCAAATAGTGTTGGATGACTGACTTTAATCTAGGATTGTTAAGTGCCAGGACACTTCTGAAGTTGACCAAAAAAAGTGTTCCCATGGTCTGTATTTCTCTGTCAAGCATTCCATGTAATAAGGTTGACCTTTCCCTTTACATCATTCTGTCAAATTCTGTAACACATTGCTATGTTATTTTTATTTGGTTAAGTTGATACAGTATTAGAGTTACGGTTTTATTTAAGTTTCAGTCAGTTCTTTCTCATGATGGGATTGGTGCCAAATTGGAAAAAAAAATCCTCTCATAACCCACCACAGTTGATTATTATTATTAATTGTAGCCATTTAAATTGCAATATGAAGCCAATCTGCCTTGTCCTAATTCCCACTGAACTTAGTGGAACTCATTGCTGGGTAAATATGAATAAGATTGCATTAAGACTCCATAAATATGAATAAGATTGCATTAAGACTCCATAAATATGCGCCAGAAGAAAAAATACCTTTGTGTAATTTGCCTTGTGTATAAAGGAGTTCTTTATATTTGTGGTGAATCTATAGCCCCATAAGGACATTCCTAAAGTTATCTCTTTTAGCCTCTTAGCTTTATGGCTTAGACTTAGACTTAGTTTAACACCCCTGGAGTTCCACAGGCTTGTTACGCTGGGACCTCCATCTTAAAAATTGTTAAAATAGAATTACAGAGTTGGAAGGGACCTTGGAGGTCTTCTAGTCCAACCCCCTGCTTAGGCAAGAAACCCTAAATCATTTTAGACAAATAGTTGTCTAATCTTAAAAACCTCCAGTGTTGGAGCATTCACAACTTCTGGAGTCAAGTTGTTCTACTGATTAATTGTTGTAACTATCAGGAAATTTTTCCTTACTTCTAAGTTGCTTCTCTCTTTGTTTAGTTTCCACCCATTGCTTCTTATCCTGCCCTCAGTTGCTTTGGAGAATAGTTTGACTCCCTTTTCTTTGGGGCAACCTCTGAAATATTGGAACACTGCTATCATATCATCCCAGTCTTTCTTTTCATTAAACATAGCCAATTCCAGCAACCATTCTTCATATGTTTAATCCTCCAGTCCCCTAATCATCTTAATTGCTCTTCTTTGCACTTTTTCTAGAGTTTAAACATCTTTTCTACATCGTGGTGGCCAAAACTGGATGCAGTATTCCAAGTGTAGCCTTACCAAGCCATTATAAAGTGGTATTAACCAGGGATGGGATTCTACCAGTTCGCACCTATTCTCTAGAACCGTTGTTAACCGTTGTTAACATTCTAAGCAGTTCGGAGAACCGGTTGTTAGAAGAAATTACTGGTCTAATCCTGTAAGGAAGGCAGGAAGGAAACATTCTGGTGTTGCTTGTAGAAACTGCCTCTCCGTTAACCCTTATTACATTCTTGGCAGGATTAGACTTCCTGTCTCAGGAATGTCTCTGGAGTTTTTTTTCCCCTCCTTTGCTGGTACTTTGCTTGTGTGGAGTGACCATTCAAAGTTACAATGGCACTGAAAAAAGTGACTTATGACCATTTTTCACACTTACGACTGTTGCAGCATCCCCACAGTCATGAGAGGCCAGGCGAGGAGATGCGTGCCTCAATGTGAGTGATATTGAGTTGGCCACACCCAGCCAATAACATGATTATCCACCCAGTCACATGACCCCAACCCACGCCCACCAAATAAGCCACGCCCACAGAACCAGTTGTTAAAAATTTTGAATCCCACCCCTGGTATTAACATTAGTTACTGCATTCATTATGTGTATATGAAGGGTGGAAAGTCTTTTTAATAATGTCAATTTTGCAGTCTTAATTCAAAGAAATTCAGAAAACATAACATGTAAATATTTTCTTACTAGCAATGCTTGTTATTGCTTCTCTTTCTGGTTGTTTATTATTTCTGCTATCAGAAGAAGATTGTGTTTATAATCTCTTATCTGGGATTGAGGTATTATGCAACCAAAGGAATGCTAAACTTTAAGCAAATTATAAGTATTCTGAATCCAGCTGGGAATCCTAAGACTTCTTATTAGACTTTTCTTTAGCCAACAATTTTCTAGCTACAGGATGGCTTTTCTTCAGTCCTCTAATCATACACAAACGTACTAAGGATAACTAGACACTACTGACCAGGCATTAGCTTGGGACATTTAGTTAGATGGGAATCCTGATGAAGACCCAATGGAATAAAAGTAGACGTTGTAGAGTGACAGCAAAAGCAAAGGTTTTATACACCCTCTCAATTTTATTCACTACAAGTAAGCAAGTAAGTGGTTAAATAAGTAAATAAGGTACCACAAGCACTACAAGTTGGAAAAATTAACATTGAGTTTCTGGTGGAAAACAGAATCTACTGTTTTTCCCAAGAATCTGTTTCCCAACCTTGGCATTTTAAAGATGAGTCTATTTCTATTTCCTAGAATTTTCAGCAAAGGCTATGCTGGCTGTGTAGATCTGGAAGTTAAAGTCCATATACCTGAAAATTGCCAAGGTTTGGGAAACCCTAATTTAAGATGTTAAAAGTAATAAGCTAGGACTTGCAGGTCCAACTTCAACTCAGCCATGGAAGTTTACTGAGGGTCTTGGGGCCATTCCTTCAGTCAATCCTGCCCCACAGGGGATTTGGGGGAGGGAGCTGTGAAAAAAACATGGTGGCATTTGCCTATCTGGGTTCCTGGCAGGCTATTAGCCAACATACAAACAAATTTTCCCTGTATTAGATAATTTTGGCTTAAGGAAAGGAAGAAGGTTTCTAAAAGAAGATTTGGGAAAAAAAATGTATAGCTGAAGTTCAGCTGAATACGGTGCCTAATTCATGTAACTTCTAGACTCCCTTTTTCCCCATTTGCTTTAGAGCCAGAAACATAATACTCCGAAACTACAGAACTAGAGCAGGAAGCCATATTCGACTAAAAGCCGCAGCCTATATTTATCTCACCAATTAGTCCTCAATTTGGAGGCTAGCAATTTGTCCTGCTAATTTGCAATGAATGCTGTATGTCATGTTTTCATTTGCACTATTCCCGTAGGGGTGGATTTATTTTATTTTAAATTTGGTTTTAGCCATTCCTAGGAATTAAAAAAAAAAGCTGAACATTCTTTCCAGAAGGGGAAATATGAATGGCTTTATTGTTGAATATGATTTGCCACAGTATGACTAATGGCTTGCTTTTGAGCTTCTGAGGCTCTGGCAATATTCAGCTATGCAAAAGCATATACTGCATAGGATATAATTTACTCAGGAAGAGAGAGTCGCTTAGGTGAGCCATCTTCTCCCTTTCAATCATCTCCAATCTTCAAATGTCTCAAACTTCAACTCTCAAAACTTTCAGCTAGCTTCATTCTGTTATTGATCCAAACATCTGGAGAACACAGTTTGGAGAAATTGCTCCTTTAGATGTTTATCCTTGTGCAATACGATCCCCAATATCCCAGTAATCTTTTCCCTTCAAAGGAGATAAAGATAGGAACGTACTCTATGATTTATATTTTAAGTATGATGTTTGTTTAATGCATTGGAAAATGGGAGGCCTGCCCTAAAACCACCTGAAAAATACATCTATCTTAAAAAATAAAAACTTTAAAAAAATACATTTGCTGAACAGAAACAGTTTATCAAAATAGTAAATAAGGGAGAGGGGGAAGCAAAACAGAATGAACGGCATGTAAAAAAAAAATTCTTAGTTTAATCCTGCTTCAGATCCTCTAGTGTTGTGAGACCACAGTGCATTTGGCACTGTTGCTCAGAAATTATGGGAATCGTGGCCCACGATATCTAACATCATTCCAAGTCTGACCAGCTACAACTTTCCTAGTCCAACTAGGAACTATGCACCCTTCTAATTTTCATTTGCTCTGTTATGACATTTTATAGCCTGCCTTTTGTTCCAAGATGGAATTAAAGGTAGCACGTGTAGGGTTCTTGCTTCATCTAGGTATTCATAAAATGCAGAAATTTGCTGCAGTTCAGACTTGCAGGCCGTATAATGGAGACGGAAAATTATTTGATAACTCAGAGAGTGGGGGGCGAGGGAGGGAGGGAGAGAGAGAGGGAGGGAAGGAGACGGTGGGGAGGAGACAGTGGGGGCAGTTATGTGTTTGCAATCCAGGACTTCAAATTGCTGTTCAGTGTTTGGGTCTAGGACAATCAGGGGAAACTACAAAGCCTAACCATGTGCTTCTGCTGACATCTTTGGAAGCTCTGGTGGACGCTATAGTTAACGATCTGGTGGTGACTATGGGTTTGGAACTATATGCATTTTTAATTTTATTTCAGGCTTTGCATGCTTCTGGAATAGGACCAAATTCATATGAACAGAAATGTAGCATTTTTAAGAAAGGTGGAAGCCAAACAGAGATGTTAATGACAGTTTTGAGAAACCAATAACTGATGCACTATTTATCAACTCTAAACTGACTGTATTGCTTTAGTGAAATGGAATACTAAAAGTTGCTCCTTGACCAGCTATTGCATCAAATGCAGCTTTTAAAAATTTCTTAAAAAAATAATAATATTGTGATAGCTACAGTGCTTGGAGTGACAACTTCTTTTCTCCTTTCTGAGGCAATATGAATTGTGAGCTTATTTTCTTTAGTTCCTAAATTGGCAAAAATAATAATGATTTTATAATGGTTTTCATGAGGAAAAGACAACATCCAAAATTCAAGAGTTTGGGGGCTGCAGATACTTTTTCTAAAGATGGCCCTATTTCATGCTGGATAACTGAACTTTATTGCTTACTGAAACACTTTGAAACAGGGAGCTGTTCACATTCATGAATAATGCTTGCTATTGACATGGAAATCTTCATTTTGGCTTTTTCCATGAAAAGGAGGTGCACGCATATAAATCACTCTAGTTTTATATTGCCTGTATCCAGAGCTATGTGGATAAATCTCTACCTCTTCGTGTGGCAGAGTATGATTATGCAAATATTAAGCCAACAAATCTTTCTCTCTCTCTAATCCTCCACCAACAAATAAATGATGCAATCATTAACACAGACTATTCAACAAAGAATTCAGAAAGTATATACAGTCCAAACATTGGCTCATCTAAATTTGATTACAGAGTAATACAGGTTCCTGTGTTGATCCCATGGTACTCTCTGGCATAAGAATGTCAATTAATGGGCACTGATTAGCAGAAATGGAAAGCTGGTCTGGGTTACTGGAATCAGAAAAACTTTCTAAAAGCCTGAAAAATTGCATCTGTCTCTTGCATTCAATAGCCTAGTTATATAGCCACCCACCTCCTATTTGGATGTGGGATTCTGCAATTTAAGGTTCCATTATTGGTCATTTTACAGAAGTAAGTAGCAGATGGCTCTCCGTATATTTTTGAGCCAATTCACATCTTTTTTTTCCCCCAATATAAGCTGCATTAGCCAGGATTCAGCAAGACTTGTAGGAGCACAGAATGACATTTTATTTAGTAACTGATAGATATATCATGGTTTTCCAGTGGCCATATAATTGTTGTTAAAATAGAACTATGAATCATTTGTCTGCTTTTATACTTCTTTCATCACATTTACAGAGGAGAAATTCAGTTCTCAATGTTCTGGGTCAAAGACAAATTTGATGCATTTGTCTTTTATTTAGGTATCAAATTGGTTTGCCAATGCAAGGCGGCGTCTTAAAAATACTGTCCGCCAACCGGATCTCAGCTGGGCTTTACGAATAAAACTATACAATAAGTATGTTCAAGGAAATGCTGAGCGGCTTAGCGTAAGCAGTGATGAGTCATGTTCCGAAGGTTTGTTTTTGATACTTTCAAGTTGTCTCTATAAAAAGTCTGTAAAATTGAAAATAATTATTATTTCTCAAGAAGTCAATAGTCTTGCATGCTATTTTTGCCTTGATCTGTGCTCCTCAACTACAGTATGTCCAATAAGCAGCATCTTCCTGGACTCTGAAGAATGAATGTCTCTAAAAATAGCTTCAAAGATTAAAAGCCTATATATGTCCAGATGGACTATATTGTTTGCTTAAGATGCAATGATGGTTTTGTAGAAAAAGAAGGAATCTTATGCCCATGTAATGCCCTCTCTACAAGAAACTTCTTCCCCAAAGTTATGTTTGGCAGGAAAATGTCAATTCTTTCTGAATTATTTGAACTAATCTTTCTTAAAGCCCTGTTATAAATGTATTAAGAGACAAGAGGGAGTTCACTGTATATTTACACAAAAATATTTGTCTTCTATAGCAATTGCAGCAATCCCACTACTGCAAAGATAAATTATATATGAAGTGAACCCTGTCTTGTTTCTTTGGGGAACTGCCAAAAATATAGTAGTAAATAAACCATGTAATATTTTTTTTCTTTGGGGGGGGATTTTGTTTCTCTGCTTTTAAGGGGTGAATCTCATATATATAGTATATGAGTAATCTTTGGTGGGAAGCACACTTCACCCATGTGGCTGGGAACTGGAAACTGAGGTTGGGGCAAGTTAAAGAAGTTTATGTCAATGTGTTTTAGAAACGACTGTCACAATAATGTCATCTGATCTCTGTTTTCCATCAAATGCTTCTTTAGGAGTATAAAAATATATAAGAAAAGTTTCTGCTTGATCATTCTTCTCTTTGCAGATGTTGAAAACCCTCCCCAAAATGAAGGAGAATACAACACCCAGGTTCATCATGCTGTGAATAAAACAGAAAGTTCTGACATAAAATCTGGAGTAAAACCAGAAGGAAGTGCCAGCGAGGATTATGTAGCCCCTCCTAAATACAAAAGCAGCTTATTGAATCGCTACCTGAATGATTCGGTGAGACATGTCATGACCACAGATGCAAACCTGATGGAAAAAACAAGACAAAGGAATCATTCTGGATCATTCAGCTCTAATGAGTTTGAAGAAGAACTGGTGTCACCATCCTCCTCTGAGACTGATGGAAATTTTGTCTACCGGACAGGTATGTGCCTTTTTCCAAAGACCCTCCTCCTCTTTTTATTGCTTTATAATTATTCCTATTTTTGCAAGAAGGTTCTTTTAGAGTGAATGTGGTTGTAATATCTCAGAGTTTAGAAGATAACGGTGAAAGTTTTCCCCTTTCCAGTCATCTTAGGGCTCAGTGCTCAACTCTTGTTTCTTAGCTGAGGGAGTCAGCATTGTCTGAAGATATTTCCATGGTCATGTGGCTGGCATGATTATATGCCAAGGTCAGTGGTAGGATTCAAAAATTTTTTACTACTAGTTCTATGGGCGTGGTTTGGTGGGCCTGGGTGGCTTGGTGGGCATGGCTTGGTGAGTGTGGCAGGAAAAGGATATTTTAAAATCTCCATTCCTTCTCCACTCCTGGGGGAAGGTTACTGCAAAATCTCATTCCGTCCCCACCCCACTAACCTGCTTTCCAGCTCCGTTCTCCTGTGCAGGGGAAAAAAAGAAGACCCAGCCAGCTAGCTGGGACTCAGGAGACAGGAAATAGGGGGTGGGGCCAGTCAGAGGTGGAATTTGCTGGTTCTCCAAACCACTCAAAATTTTTGCTTCCGGTTCTCCAGAACTGGTCAGAATCTGCTGAATACCATGGCCAAGGTGCACAGAACACTGTTACCTTCCCACCGAAGCAGTACCTATTTATCTACAGCATTTGCATGCTTTCAGACTGCTAGGTAGGCAGGAGCTGGATCAAGTAATGGGAGCTCACCCCATCGTGCAACATTTGAGTCTCGAACCTGCTCTGTGTCTTTAACCACTGAGCCACTATGCCCCAATGTTGATGCTAGTATCCCAGGGTTTAGGAAACTATGCTGTAATTAATATTGTAGTTCACTGCTTCTAGCTATAAGAAAATCTAGGTTTCACTGGATGCCTGAAATTAGAAAGCCAACATTAAAAGAATATATTCCACCAGAGAAAAAGAAACCTCAGTTCCAAATGGTGTCCTTGCCAATATAATAAGTCTTGTTAACAGGATTCCTTGGATAAATTAATGGTGCTTTAGGGCTTTCTTAAAAGGAGACGAAGATGGGGTCTGATACATTTGAAACGGCAAAGCATGCTACTTGATATGAAGTTCCACAGGAAACACTATCTTTTTTCTATTTTGGATGAACTTTGTAGCACTTGGGGAAAGCTAAGAGGGAAAAGTCTGGAATCTGGGCAGATTGTCATAAGAGAAGAAACTTTTTCAATTTTTGATCCCAAATCAAGATAGGTTAGCTCCATCCTGCTACTGCTTAGTCTATTTACACCATCCTGCTATTTGGTTAATTGTTCTGAAGGCTTTGAAGTTTGGCCCAGATCTTCAGGGCCAACAGCTCAAGTGATTTGGACTAGTGATCAGGCTCAGAGTCAAACAATTCCATATGAGAAATCCTCTTCTTTTCTTATTAATAAATATGGATCCTATATTTTTCATCTGTTGCATCATGACAAAATTATGTTCCTCTAAGCTGCAATTGTTGATTAATTTTGGCCCATTTAGACCTACCATGAACAGCATCCGTATGCACTTTTGAATGAAACCTGAACATCTGAATGGTTCCATGGATGAAACTTCATAATGAAATCCATGTTTTTACACTCATATATGGGATCATTCTTCAACCCTCACATTGTAATCTTTATCATTTCTTCTATAGTCCTTTCCTTAAAGTCTTGCAATCTTTTCACAATTTTTGTCACAATTTCCAGGATTTTGCTTTCAAGTAAACCCCAAGTTAAAGTTTTCTATCTTCAGGGAAAGAAAATAAGTTTGCTCTTCTTTGAAAAAGGCTTTACTTTTTTCATTCTCTTGTGTCCATCCTAATGTATATTTCAATCAAAAGACATACCTTTAACTTATCATCTTCTTCCAAACTTCCAATCCCTCAGTTTTCTAATTTTCTAAATATATCAGACATATGGAAATATATCAATCATTCCAAGTTTAATATGTGTTTACATTTAAGGCAGGACAAGATTCCTAGAAAAGTAAATGAAAAACTGCAAAAATATCAAAAGATGTTTTGGAAAGGTTTATGAAAAGTTGGTAATAGAAGACTGAACAACAGTAAAATGGTAAAATATGAAGGGATCTTCTTTAACTCAAAATATACATGGGTGAGATGTGGGAATGGGCAGGTTAAGAACAGTCAAAAGTTATGTCAACTGTGAATTCTGAAGTGATAATTCAAAGTATCTGTGGGATCAAATTGGAGAATATCATTATAGATCATCTATATCTTGATTGCTATATTTTCAAAGAAACTTTCAAAAGTGTATTGCTTCTTTTATTGTTTGAATAAAAATAAATAATAATAACTCCTCCCTTTGATCTGTTCCCCTGAGTTTCAGTCTTATGTAGATTTTCCATTTAAGTTAAAATTATTGTGTTCTCCTTCCAAGTCTTGGGCTAAGCAATGGACTTTCCTTGAAGTGTATTCATAATTCTAAAAGGTTTTGTGTAAAATAGGAGCTGTGGTTGTCTAGTTCAAGTGTTTTCCAAGTGAAATCTCTTGGTTTTTGAATGCTGTTTTTCAGCATTCCAAGTGCATTTGGTCTACATTACGCGATAATCCCCTGCCAAATTTTAGTTTAAAATGATTGTTGCTCAAATGAGAACACAGTGACTTAAGACATGTGAACTTCTGGTTTTTGATACTTATACAATTGGAAATTTTAAAATGGGCATACTCTTGTGTAATAGAATTGTTACTGGACTTGGCCTGTTTTCTGACAGCTTTTTAGCTTTGACTGAGAGCTGGAGAAATTTCCTGAAATGGCTGAGGCATCCGTATACTAACCACTACATCAGGAACCAGCCGAACATTTGGAAAAACAAGCTGTAAATGGTTACACAATCATGCTAATGTCTCTCTATGTGTACAGAATTGGGGCTATGTAGAGACTTCTTCCTTTATGCTTTGAAAAGCATAAAGCAACATGTTTAGATAGACAAATTTAACATTCTTAGGGACATTTCTTTTTACTGGACAAATTTTATTTGCAAGACTAAAGACATTATGTAATGCACCATTGTTATTTTCAAAGTAGGGATACGTTTTGAAGAGGGGAAAGGTAAGACCCCAAGTAGCCATCCTGGACACCACCTGGATGAAAAATGTGCATGTTGAAAGAGATCAAAGAAATGGGGGGGGGGCAGGGCAAAAATTAATTTAATTAATGAGATTACTCTTCCTGTTTATTCCTAATTTAAAATTAGCATTTGGTAGCAATATTTTAAAGAATTTTGTGACTCAAGTTATTAAGGAGTGATAGTACAAGTGGTTCTAGAGCCTTAAATTGTATAAACGAGAAGCTAAAAACCCCATGTATTCCATTTCTAATCCCACTTCTAATTTTATAATTCCACTAACTCTCCTACAAATGCTGGGCCAATAATTTAAATTTTCTGAAAATGTCTTAGAGCAGCATTTTCTTGACATGTTATGATTTTCTGGCATCTTTCATAATTCTGAATATGAGAACACTGTCAGAAATGAAAAGGGTGACCTGTTCATGTCAAGAATACATGAAGTTCTAACATACTTCTGTTTAGGTAATTCAAATTATATAACAAAATATAGAGTGCTGGTACAAATGTTTACTTTATGGGCACCATCAAGCTATGTGGGGTTCTGTCAGCTGCACTAAGCAGGCCAGAATTCAGGAATTCAGTGCCATAGAAGATTAGAAGATCTACCTTGGCTACATCAACAAAATCTTGCAAGTCTGGCTTTGCTACATCTCCACACAAACACCCCCAACATTCGTCCCTTCAATTCCCCAGTGAATTAGGTGTCTTTCTGAGCTGTTTCTAAATATTATTTTGTTTATAAGGATTTAAAAAAAACATTTCAGTTCCCTTTGACTAATTAATGGATTCTTGCATTTTTCCAACAAGGTCATCTTCCTTATTCTTTACAGACTTCAAAGGGCTGAGTAAATATTTTCATGCACTGATATTCCAGGTCCAGCCCTCCCTCACTCAAGACCTCCAGATACACTCAGTTTTAATTCCTATTGTCCTTCAGACAGCCGTCTATGTTGCCCTAGTGCGTTCCAAGTATATTGTTCTAATTAGTCTGTAATGCAGAACAGAAAATGTGGACTCCACTATAAGGTGAACAGATCCATATTTACAGGAATATGCAAATTGACTTTTAACCAATTAAAGTTTTAACCACATGCCAATCACAATGGGGCACTGCCAGCTAGTTTAAAAAGGAAGATCCATTATTCCAGCATTTATTTCCCTGAGATGTCTTTTCCCGAACTAAAAATGGTTCATCCGGATGCATTGTTTTCTTTTCTTTTTGTTCATTTCTATATGCAAGTTTCAGGAAATAGAGAAAGCATATGCCATATCCAATAGTACATGAATATGATTTGATTTGAGACGTGCCGACAGATATCTCCTTTGGCAGCCATCAAGTTCCTTGCCATATCTGCCTTTTAACAAAATATTTTTAAATAGGAAGTTGGCATGCAAAGCACTAGAATTTTTCTAATTTGGTAACCATTTGAAATTAATAAATAAACAAAACGTTTCCAAGCTGTTCCTGGGCCCTGCAGAAGCCATATTGGAATTCCTGGAAAATGAAGTAGTAGTAGCAAAATATGCCCACCTATCCAGAAAAAAAGACAAGAGATCAGCCAGGGTGCTAAGAAGCATCATGAAGAGCTAGGTGGAGTGGCAAAAAGTGACCTCACTGTTTGCTTTTAGTAAATAGTAATTTGTAACTGACCAGCCTACCATGACAGCCCTTTTATGAGGAAGCTACAAATGTTCTCCAAAGCCTTGACTCCTTCATATTTGCATCACTTCCCATACTAAGTCAATTCCAGATTTTTTTTACCTTCCTATTCCAGGTTCATATCTCAGTCTACTTACGTTACCAATTATGCTTTGCATGCATTATAAGCTATATTTTAAACTATGTGGCTTTTTTGAACTTACATGGTTTTTTCTCCTATATTGGGGTAATGTAT